GGAGGAGTGGGTTACGGTGACGAGAATTTTGCGGCGATAGGTTGTGCAGGTAAGAGGGAAGGTGTTAACGTTTGGATTGTGGGCCACGTGTTCCGGGGGGAGGGGGACGCAGAACCAGTGGATTGGATAGGATTGGATAACACAACAGTAGAAGTCGTAGTAGTGGTGGTAGCTCATAATATAGCTAGCGATAATAAGGCGTGAGCACGGCTTACCATCCCTTTACAGTTATAACATATTGGAAGCCGGTTCGGTCTTTGTTCGTTCTACACGTTTGAAAACAACTTATAATTATCGTAACTGGCCTATCTCATGAAATGTTAACGATTAGAAAGGATTGTTTAGGTGCTTTAATACCGATTGTTTGCATCTTAATCGCAAACTATTTCTGATATTCCGGGAAGCCGGCTTTTGAATATTTATTTAGATCTCCAGCAAAAACCGCGCTTAGTAGTGACTACTTAAATACTCTGGATTTTTCCCTTTGATTTTCGATGTCCTTATAAATTTAACTATGTTTTATAAAACCAACAAGAAACATTTGGTTTTTGTACTCAGTAGGTAGCGCAGTAAGTTTGCTTTTGAATTTGAAAAGGCGTGTCCGCAGGTTTGATAAAAAAAATTAAATTCCCGAACATTTTTAAAGTCGATTTGCAGTTGTTTTTGAGCTTAAGGTTCTCAAACTGCATTCCATACATTGTTCCCGTAGGGAATCTCACACATTCCGTTATTTGCTTAAGACGTCCAGTAGGACCCGTAAAATGTTGCACTGAATACGCACGATGGTGCGTATATCCTAAGGAGCATTAATACACGTACACACAATGTTATTTGAATAGACATTTTATGGTCTTAAAAAGCTGATTATTATGATTTTTACATTGAAAAGCTCCCTTGTCAAGTATGTTATTCTAAGATGGCGTAATTTTCTACGAGATGAGCACAAAACGTAATATTTTGTTCATTTTTTTAAATCTTTTATAATTTATAAGGGCATCCAAAATCGATGTTAAAAGAACTCTTACTTAAGTCGCTATTCGCTACCAAGTTTAATTTAAGTATGTGACTGAAAAAAAGTTTTTTTTAAAAGCCGGTATGCTGACGCAATTGAAAGAGCCTGGGATCATTGGTACGGTCCCTCTTTTTCAACTATCTATCACTGGGATTCAAACAGTACTCTCCTCCTCCACAGCAAACTTTAATGAGTCTTATTTGAGACAACTGTCTCTCAACATTTGCAAGGCACTGCATATACTGGGCCGAAAGTTTCACTTTGAAGAAACGGAGATCATTGTATTCCAACGTCCGCAGTGTGTCACAACATCCCAGTCGAGTGCCTATGTGTTGTCGAGCAATTTAAACATACGATGCATGGAATTTTACAGTTTTATTATTATTACAGTAGTTCAGTGTACGCCATTGTTTCATCATTGTTCTTCGAAAAAAAAATAGTCAAGACCAGTTGTCAGCTTGAATATCGTGCAGCTTCATTCCATGATATTTCAGTTACATCAGGATGTCGACTTTTAAGTAAGTCCCTCTGCGATCGCCTGGAAAAACTACCGTCTGAATAAAGCGACTACTTAAATAGTGTCTCTTTTTGAACCGACCATCGACGCGCTATTAACTTCAAATATTTTCTATAAAAAATATGCCAAAAACAATTCTTATGCACACATGTTCTTCCTTGAAAATTAAATCTTTTTGGAATTGCCTACGTAAAGGAGGATGCCTGTCCGATTTTTAAAAATCTTTCCTCGCTTACCGAATATTTTTGAATGCGACCTGTCGTTGCCTTGCATTCAAGATTTGCATACTGTATGCTATATGCATTTTTTCGAAGGATAATTACTCATTTTCCTATGCTTTGAAGAACAGATTACATGCCGCTAATAAAATTTTGCAATGGATTTGGACAATTTTGTATACATACTGTATGAGCAACATTAGAAAATGGACAGATATGACGCATGATGAATGTACACTTCACGGTCTTAACAAATCTCACAACCAGAGATGTTTTTAAAACCAAAAGATAAAATTTTCTTGCGTGTTTTTACCACATATTCGTCAAGTCATAAGGGCATAAAAAATTAATATATAAAGGCCTGATGATTAAGTAGACTTTTTTTACCAGAGTTTAGTATTTTCAGGCGGCTGAAAAGGAAGTCACCCGAAAGCCGGCAACTTGACGTGCGCAAAGTTTCTTAGGATTGGATTGCAAGAACTTAATGTTCAAGTACTACTAACGTACTCTTTTTGAATTGAAAATCTACCCGATACTGTCGGTTGACATTTCAGGAGTTAGTAAATCTACTGTACTGATCTACTGTACAACTTGGAGTATGCCGTCCAGGCCTGGCGTCCGTGGTTTAAGAAGAATTATCTGGACCTGGAAGGATTGCAGGCGAGGGCTATGAAGATGGTCAAGAATCTTGGTCATCTGCCTTTCGAAGACAGATTGACTGAACTTGATTTATTGTCTCTCAAGTACAAGCAACTCTGCGGTGACCTCATTAAAATCTACCGAATTGTCCGAGGCCGTGAGTGCGTCCTAGAATTTGAGGAGTTCTTCGAATTAGCTCGAATATATCATCTGTGGGGTCATCCCTTTCACCTGCAGATGAAGCCGGTCCCTATGGTCTTTCAACGGAACGCCTTTCCGCAGAGGGTCATTAGAACGTGGAACGGACTCCCTGACGAGGGGGTTCTTTCAGATACGGTTGAGACATTTAAGCGTAAACTGGATTCTCATCAGCTGAGAAACTGTGATACATAAATTGAACATTGTGTCGGTAGTGGCAGTTTACAACTGGCTCACACATATCGCTGGCGTCAACCCTACATTTGTCATATGTACTATTCTTAAAGTTGAACTCTTTTGCAATTTTTAGATATGAATAGGAAGCTCAAGGGCGAAAGCCTTCTCCCCTTAATAAAATGGCTTATCTCCCCTAAAACAGGTGTGCAGAGAGCATCTGATGGCCGAGCCATCTTCCGAAATTTCGGTAATGCCACACTGCACCAGAGCGGACTGACTTGTTCCCATTTGAGTGCACAGCAAACGCTAAGACCGCATTGCTCACCTTTCCAAATCGAAGGTGAGAAATCACGGACCCCTTAACCCCCAGGTGTTTTTTAAGGGCTCGTAACTGCGGAGGTGATCTTATCAAAAAATATCTTCGCGTGCTGCGGGATGGCAGAGTGCGGTACATTCAAAATGCCAACTATACTTGGCAGAGGGAAGGTGCTGCGCGGCACTTTTAACCAGATTTTAGCGATAAAGATTATTAGTGCGGATCCCACAGTTTAGAAAAACTACCAATTTATTGCAGAAATTCTCCAGAATTTGCGCTGAGTGTCGTTTTTGCATGTCTTGTTTTAGTTTTTATTCATATTTGCACTTTTTTATGAAACTTTTTATAATTTTTAACCATGTTCCAATCTCAACTTTATTCCTATATTTCACTGCATAGAAACTGGATTTCACTGGATAAAAAAATAAACTACGAATTCTGGTCGGCTATTGCTTGATGCGATAATTTTCCACTAGGGGAGCTGCAAATATCTGTCCTGCCGATGGCGAATGGGCCGTTTGCGGTTCTCTTTGGCAAAAGAATCGTAACTCTGGCGACATCAGTTTGGACGTTCAGTCCCGTTCTGGTTGGCCATCAGAATTGGACAATTAAGAGTTGGTTTCCGTGCTTTAATACCAACCGTCATCGAGTATCCGTAATTAGGAGGCAGTAATTGGATTCAAACACAAAACGGACTTGACACTCATTAATTTGACTTTGTCCATAAGAGGCCCCATCGAGACCGGCATGAGCTGCCTACAGCACAAGTCAATTGACGCGTTTAACTTTGCCACTACTTATTGTAAAACCTTCTAAACTATCGATTCTGGAAGAGCATTGTGAGGTCTGATGATAAATGGGTTAAAATAACTAATCACAACCGGCAACTGAAATTGTTTTCAGAAGGTCATGATCCTCCATCAGTCCCACATCAAGCTCGGTTCGACAAGGAAGTTATGGCTTGTGGTTGGTGGAATTTTAAAGGTAAACTTCGCCTCGAATTTGTTTCTAATAGCCTTGCCATCAACTCGGACTGCTACTGTCAACAACTGGACAAAAAGCAAGGTAGGAATTTGGTTAGGCAACGATTCCTTCTAAAGGATACTACTTACCTACTTATTTAACTATAGTAAGCCTGTTTGTTTTATTAGTTCATACAATCGTGGATTGCAGTGCTTTTATACATTATTTTTCTGCGGCTTTTCTTACGTTTGGTCACTTCTAGCTTTATTAGTTTATGCTTAGTTTTAAGTTGAATCACTTCAGTTTAGTTTACTTTTAGTGTGTTCTTAGATTAGTTTCCTTGTTAGTTTTATTAGTTTTATTTGTGTATTCAGTTTACTTAGCTTTCTTTGGTTTATCATAGCCTACTAAGTATTGTTTGATTTTCAGTTTAATTTTAGTTTAACTTTTAGTTTATAATCAGTTTTATTAGTTTAGTTTTAGTGTAGATAAGTTTTAGTTTAGTTAGCTTACTTATCTTAAGTTTACTTTAGTTTATTTCGTTTTTATTAGCGACATGCCGTTGCTTTTCCGTTCAAAAATGGCGAAAAGCCTACCTTTCATGATTTTAATTTAATCTCGAAAATTTGCATTTCTTTGCATAGTTCCGCAATTGGTGCAGTTCAAAAATTCCTGAAGTTCCACAATTTAAGGATGTCTTGCTTCCTATTGGTCCTATTTCTCATTTTAATTATCGCGCGCTTTTTGTTGCCAAACATTGGGTTATTTAAATAATTATTCCTATCATTGTCTACTTTTATTCGCTCCACTATTGTAATTATTTTTTTGGCATGATATGCCCAGCCCATAAAACCCCTATTACCAGAGGACGAAAACCTGGGGTTTTCTGTCAGTGGTATGCTTCCCGAGGAAAGGTTGCCTTTGTTTATTAATTTTTTGCATTAAAAAATCTAGTTCTTGGCAAGCGCTGTGGAACTTCTGTCCCGACCTACTACACCCAAAATAGTTGACGGGCCGCTGGAGGACAAATTCTTCACCTCTAGTGTTTTTAGACGCCTCATGGCCTGAAGCCTCTGCGAGCGTCGCCTGCTGACTTTTTCCGTTGGAAGCGGATGTATGTCGTCTCCATTGGTGCTTTATTAGCTTCAGTTGCCCCCAGACGCACTTTTCGAGAGATTTCCAGTGTGTATCTCTCTTTCACTGTCTGTCTCCTCTTTTATTTCCGGTGATTCCATTATATTGTTGTCAGAACTGTACAGCCCTTTGGATAAAAAAGGTTAAATGTAAAGACGTCCTGTTTCACCGTATACTTCAGACAAAGAGAACGATAGGGATTGCTTATTTGACCCCAAGACAGGCGATGGGAACAGAAAGTCTCTGTAATACAGGTGGGTTT